CGCTACTGGTGCTTGATCTGGTCGAAATCAGGCTCATACAGTTGAAAAAATTCTGCATCATGCCTCTTGAAGGCACTATTATATAACATTATTTTGTGTTACTGCCTATATCGAAAATACTAGGAAAGCCTACATACTGACTGCCCCACTGTGCAGTGGCTTGGTAGATAATGCTTTTTTTTTTTTTCTTCAGGGAATGGTTTTTCCAGGTTTCACAAGAAGTGTTGAATCCCATGTACTGTCTATTTGAATATGCCAACAAGAGTAATTATTGTTTACAAATCAATGCAGCATCGTCGGTAAACCCAGATCATTTATTGTACTTCAGGTTTGTTGGAAGGTTTATAGCCATGGTGAGTTCATTTCAGTTTCAGTTCAACTCAATATAACAACTATATTAGCTAATGAAGTACTAGTATAATAGATAGATGAGATTATGAGATCTTCACATCTCAATACAGTGTACTGGTAATTGCCATATTCAACAGTTGCCCAGTGACCTCAACTCAGAGAATCTTGAACACTTTGATGAATGTGACCCTGAAATCGTGCAAAAGTGGGGAATGGGTGTCTGACTTGACATTGATGCAAATAATTTTGATTACAATAGATAGACTGCCATAAAAAATTACAGCAGTTATCGTTTGATAATCTCTAGTGTAACTTTATTGATATTCTGTTAACTTTGTAATTAGCATTATTAGTACTAATAATTAACAACTTTGTTGTGTTTTGAATATTTCCAGGCATTGTTTCACCAAAAGTTTATATACAGTGGTTTCACTATGCCATTTTACAAAAGAATGCTGAGTAAGAAATTAACTTTAAAGGACTTAGAGACAATTGATCCAGAGTTTTATAATTCACTAGTATGGGTCAAGTAAGTGAATTACCATTTTCCTCCTTTCATCAATCAAACCGATTCACACATTACTAGATACTGGTCAGAACCGTTTCCAAACAACAATTGGACAGTTGTTTAACAAAATTCGTCATTATATCTATTTGTTTGATCTTGTGTTTTGAATTGAAACTTTCTATTTGTCTATTAGTTTTTTGAAAATGAAAAAATTTAATGCTTTGTTGAGCTGCCACATTGTAATATGTAAATACTGTAAAAAAAAAAGCTGTAATTTCAGTTGTGGACTGTATTTTTCAATTTAGACTCGTACAGCTTTACATAAACTAACATTCAATTAGCAATTACAAATCAACATTAAACCATTAATAGACCATTTTCCGTTCACTGCGAGAATCACGCGTTATGCGTGAAATCGAACGTAAAAACAGGACAAACAAAGGTCATAGCGTCGTAGTGGAGTCAAACATCGCATGAGATTCGACAAACACGAAAGTATTTTGGGGAACATTTCCATGTCAATAATGTGCTGTACACATTTGATGATGGGCAATTTCGATTAAGTGAGGATATTCGAATGCAATATTCCTCTGTCAAAGATCGGCCGGTCGATGTGCGCTACGAAATAAAAAAATTCGAGTTCAAAATCAAATCGTTTGATTTTTGCGGCAGACGTTCAACGCGCGTCTTTCATGCTTCTCGCGAGATCTTGCAGTTGTACGGAAAATCACCTATTATTGATTTCTACAGGGATAACAATGTTGAAGACTGCGGTTTAGATTTAACATTTAGTGCTGACTTTGATGTTCTTGGTAAAGTGGAGAGCCATGATTTGAAACCAGGCGGCAGTGAAATTGCTGTGACTGAAGAAAACAAAGAAGAGTATTTAAGGTGAATTGATAATCTTTAAATGTACTGTAAGATTTATCTTATATAATCGTAATGACCTTGCTCCAATATGACATAATTTCATGTAAGTTTAAGGTAATCCAATTATTGATTAATTTTATTTTTATATTTAGTTTGATGACTGAATGGCGATTTAATCGTGGAATTGAAGAACAGACAAAATCATTCTTAGAAGGTTTCAATGAAGTACTCCCCTTACAATGGTTGCAATATTTTGATGAAAGAGAACTTGAAGTGAGTATATAATCAAAAGTTTCTGCTGTAGTGTGGTTTGATCTACTAGTTACAGCGCTGTTAACCTAAATATTTTGATAAGTTAGTAGTTCCTGTTGTTGTTACAATCATTCTGACAATAATTCAGATAGTCAATTAGCATAATGACTTGCAGCTTTGCAAAACACTTGTTTTTGTCCAATCCATACTTGACGCCACCATTGACACATGTTCAGTTATCATACTTGATGAGAGTGCAATTTTTCAAAATGAAAAGCATTAGAATATACAAACAAATTATTTGTGTTTTCATATTTCTTGAATTACATACAATGTATTTAAATAGGAAATAAAGAATAGTTATTGAATGTTGAAGGGTGATGGTCATCACACCGTGCATGTGCGAGATATGGGTCTCATATAAACAAAGATGGCAACTTTGACTGTTGGGCAGACCAGAGAGTACAAACTGAGACCTTACCAAGCGCTTTAATTATGTATTTCACCGGCAGTGATTAGTGCATGTCACACCCAGGTCTGAACACATTGGATTATGGGAAATCAATGTTTATCAATACAAATGTTGCACATGTGCGGAGCGTCAACCCCTGCCCTTTACACTCACCCTTTGAATTAGTTAATCATACACGTATACTAGCTGTCAAGTCTAGAACAAAGTAAACAGCGTTTTGCAAAGTTGTGAGTTGTCCTTTATGGTCACATTATTTCTCAGCTGGCTTTATCCAATATGTTGTGTACATGTAGTTTTTTCATTTTAAAGGAATCATTTTACCGGTAGTCATCATTAAATTGGTATTTTTATTCTTCAGTTGATGCTGTGTGGAATGCAAGAAATTGACATGGATGACTGGCAACGCAATACTATCTACAGACACTATACAAGAAACAGTAAACAAGTTGTTTGGTTCTGGCAGGCAGCTAAAGATTTTGATCATGAGAAAAGAGCACGTCTTCTACAGTTTGTCACTGGCACTTGTAGATTACCAGTTGGTGGGTTCACTGAGTTAATGGGTAAGGGTTGTCAATGTATTCTCAAATATCACTACCATACATATGTGACTGATGTTGTACAACAGCTGCACATAAAACATGTCTTCTACAGTTTGTCACTGGTACTTGTAGATTACCAGTTGGTGGGTTCACTGAGTTAATTTGTAAGGGATATCAATGTATTCTTATAAATATCACCACCCTGTACAGCAGCAGTTGCACATAAAATGACACTGCGGCCATGTGTCAAGAGTTCAAATTGTGACGCGGGTCTATATTGAATGTTATGTGGTGTGACAATTATGTTACTTTAACTATGTGCCATGAATAACAATTTGGAGGTCTTGGCTCATGTATGAGCTCCACCTGCTAGTATAATAAAAGGAATAAATTAAGAAAATATCTCAGGCAGTCGTTGCTTAACTAAATAAAAATTACGACAGGGCTTAACTCCCTGCTAAAAAAGAAAAAAAGAATGTTAACATAATAGACAACCATTGTTTATACCATTGCTCCTGTTTTTTGAGCAATTGATGCGACTTTATACAATTTACTGCATTTGATTATGGTCACTCTCAGATCATTGACCATTTAGCCTACTTTTATGCTTATAACTTGATTAATTCTTACAGGGAGTAACGGTCCTCAGAAGTTCTGTATAGAAAAGGTTGGTAAAGAAACTTGGTTACCAAGAAGTCATACATGGTGAGTTGAAGAGTCATTGTAAATACTTGTATTTTGACTTCATTGTGTAGCGGAATAAAAGCTGATATAAAATGTTACATAGCATTATGGGAGAAATTTCATCACTGAATGAAATGACAGTTTTCCAGTCTGTCTCTGAGTGTAATTTCTGGATGTCAAGAAACTTTTACCATAGAACCGATTGCCAAAATGCAGGTATAATAATTCTTGAAAATTTGTCCAGTTACTCTACGTTTTGTTTTCATTGCTATATCCTACTGGCATATACCTTTTGAACAAATGGTCTAAATTACATTTCATTTGATTTACTGTGAACAGAAAATCTATTGTGGGATTATAGCACTGGTTTTCTTTGCAATGGAAGTTTCCTGCATCTTTGAGTACAAATATTGTTCAGTGTTCACACACAAATACTGTGTTACTGCAAGATATTGCATATACACCAATAGTACACAACATACTAAGTGTAGTATTAATTTATGGATTAAATTCATTATTTTCAGCTTCAATCGACTGGATCTACCACCTTATAAAAGTTATGAGCAACTTCTGGAAAAACTCACATTTGCCATTGAAGAAACAGAAGGTTTTGCCCAGGAATAATGTAAAAGGATATCTCGTATAATAGCATTCATAAAGTCTCAAGGGCGCATGGGAATTACAACAATTGTCTACTCTTAACAATATCAACTGCTTTTGCTAGGAAAGATATTTGTTTAAAACTACATATATCTAGAACTGTTAAATAAAAACACTTTGATTACATGTACATTGTGCGCAATCATTGTACACTAACGCTTCTAATCGGTTTTAGAGTGTTCAGTTGATATTGGTTCACACAGTGTTTTTAAACTATGGTAAACCACTTGTGAGTCTAGGAAAAATCGCAAAATTTTCTAGCTGCAGGAATTTGCCTGAGGGTTCTTGAAACAGAGAAAGTGAATTCTGTGAAATTACCAAATTGTGGAACGCTGTACAGTACCACTTAAAAATTGGTAACTTTGAAAAACTGGAATTGCCATTGATGCAAACAATTTGCCAATGAGTTGACTGTACTAGTGAAATCATGTTTAAATTGATGTATTCTTGTCTGGTGCTTGTATATTACCTAAGCGTATAGCACGAATATGTGGAGAATTGTTTTTTTTTTTAATTGTAACAAATAGCGTACATGTATTCAAGATTTCTTTACATTTCAAAGTGGTTTTTCTTCACCTGTTTTTTCAAGATCTATTTTCTTGTTTGTTTTCAACAACTGCATGTCAGGAAACTACTACCTATGTTTTCTCTATAGGTAATTTGCAAATGTTGGTTATTTTGTTATTATGTTACGGTTTTCAATAATTAAGTTAGATTACTGTTGTTGAGAGATCGCCAAACAGTCTGACTGAAGTTTGTTGTATATATATATATTCTTGAGTAGAAGGTGTCTATGGGGTGGCTGGATAACTTGTCACTCTTAAAGCTGTTAAACTTATTTGAAGTTTTTAACATGTGTATTAATATTAGCCATGAATTGCAGTCAACAGTTACAGCATTTATTTTTAATCTGGATTACGTAAAATCTCGACATGCAATGTAGTTTTTGAATCCTGCTTTGCAACACTCTCAACGCACCTAGCCTAGGTAGTTTGAAATGGGCGCAGAGGCAACGAATGTTAAGAAATCTCATATAACATGTATAAATTCAGAAAGTCTACGACTTAAAGTGGGTGTTTCATCAAACAAATCCCGACTTGTTTCTCATCAAAATTTGAATAATTAATGATGACACTCTAAGATGCTGAAAACTTAACTAAGACTGAATCTACATGAATGTTTTGCTGTTTGCAAACAATTTCTGACTTGGTTATTTTGCAAATACCAAAATTGTTGCACATACTTCCGTAAAATCTGTATTAGAAGCCACATCCCTAACAGAAGTCGCACCCATTTTTATGCTCTAATAGAAGCCGCATCCCCTCTGTTGCATTGTACCATTTCAATAGGCTTCTAATACAGATTTTACAGTACTGTATATGTCCATTGCTACAAGCAAAATGTACCTGATAATAGAGCTTAATTAAACTACCTATGTTGCATGTGAGCATACATGTAGATGTATACCGGTACACTTTGTTGTACTTTCGCATATCCCATTCTCAGCAATCAAAATATCTTTTCTAGAGTGTATTATAAGATATTTTCATATTTTGTTTGAAACTGTCTGCAATTTTGTAGCTTGTAGGAGAGCTTGCAGCTTTTCTCAAAACAGCTAAACACATGTCGTGAAATTTTGAAATAACCAAAGGGGTTGTTACACTTGGAATAGGGATGCCCCCTGTCACGTATATAGTCATTTGAAATTTTATGCTCCTATGTAAAATAATCTTGAATTTTTTTAAAACCCCATTGTGAAAAAAAAAAATATTTTGTAATATAGTATTGTGTAATGTTTTCTTGCAAATGGATTCTCAGTTTCTAATGGGTTATGATTGTCAATCAGAAAATAAATTTATTCTGGATCTTATTGTTTTTCAATTGTGTAGGTTTTTTTTTCTGCACTCATGCCTAACCTTTATTTTATTTCTTTCTCTCTTTCATGTTCCGTGGCAATAAAATTTCAGTAAGTGATTTAACTCTGTGCATGGTCTATAAATGTGTGTTGCTATCATTAGTTTAATACTTCTTTAAAGATATTGATGTCTGTTGTGGTACTATCTTGAACCATTTTACTCTTGATATAGACTTTTCTTATATCCTTCACAATTGCATTCCAAAGTAACATTCTGTAAATGTTCTTGTTTTGAATTTATGTATGTATGTATGTATGTATGTATGCAAGGACTGTGATAAAATGAATCTAGTGGGCTGTACCACAAAGAAAGCTCCCAGCTGTAATTACAAGGTACACCCTTCCAACAAATCTTGCTGAATTCTGCGCATTCAGGAGCCAGAATGTGCCAAAAAAATTCCTAAATCTGTTGCCGTAGTATTTTTTGTGGCTCATGCTGGCATCGCACTGAATCTCTCAAATAAGCTACCTTCAGTTCATATTACTTGTACATGATGAGCTTGAAGAGGGTGGACAGTAGAAGCTCGTGCTGGCATCGCACTAAATCAAATTAACCATCTTCAATCCATGATGTTAATTCAAATTCAACAATGCTGCCTTAGTCAATAGGGTTTTCCCAGTTTATTATTGACGCAGTTGCACTGCTTTTTGGACATCTTTGACTGTACTTTTTTCTTCCCAAGTCCATGGTGGAAGACCATCTCATGTTCAGGATTGTTGTCAAATCGAGTTCACAATTAAGTTTACTTACCAGGTGCTTCTGCTGAGATCTAAAGTTGGAAAAAATTCATTTCAATTATTCTGTATATAATAAATGCAGTTTTGGGTTCTAAGTTCACCTTAAATAGAGTAAATACGATATATGTTCAATTTCTCAAAGATTGTACGCCCCCCCCCCCCACCATTTGTGTCATTGCAGGCCACCATTTTTTATGAAAGGTGTAATCAAATGTAGATAATTTTGCCAAGAACAAGTATTGGTCAAGCTGGAATTCATTCTACATGCCACAAACAAGAATGACATTTTTACATCAGAATTGGCTAAAATGTTGCCTCACTGAAAGTTGCAGAGAGCAACACAACATTGACTATGTACAAAAGCATGGTGAAATTCCGAAAATGAACAAAAAAAATGACAATACATAGAACTTGTCTAATGGGGATGTGCCACTGAAATGGGTCTCGTTTTTTTTGGATTTTAGGTATAAGTATCGGTCATATTTTTGGTCAAGATAGAAATAAATATTGGTAATATTTTTCCCATTTGGTGTTAACTGTTGTTTCTCATTTAACAACCTAAATAACCTGAACATTGTGTTAATATTATGCTCTTATGTAAGCGACAGGTGTTTCTATGGTCAAAATGCATATTTAAAATAAATCCATATACAATGCAACTGTTGGCTTACATGTGCTTCTATTAGAGATGCTTTTCTTAATAGAGTAAATACGGTGATAACTGTTTTATTTGGAATAAACAGTGATGACAGAAATGGTTACAAATATGGGTATAGATTTTGCCACTATCCAGGTATAAAAATGGTCACACTTTTGAGCACTCTGGGGCACCTCCCTATCCAGCTATGTATCAACTCCCCCCAGCCCCCGTGCAACAAATAGAGCCGAGCCCGGAAACAAAAAGATATAATATATTGTACACAAGAACAAAAAGACAACACAAGATCACGGCAATCGCTCTGACATCGCAGGAAGACTACATACCAAGCCTCACTCACTCACTGCGCCAAAAAAAAAAAAAGAATTTTGAAGTTTGCTTGAAAGAGAATAGCAACTCAGTTCTACACAGAAGATGAAGCCAAAGTGTGGAAGGTGGAATATGCAGAAGTGCTGTAGCTTAGAGCCCTTGATCGTTTGAATATTAATCTTTATTTGGTTTTAGTTTAAACATACAGAATAACTAAAAAAAGTAGTAAATACATAATAAATGCTGCTTGGGCCGATAAATATGATACACAGTGGATAATAATAATAATATTTATTGCATCTTTAGAAATACAGTATTTCTATCAGTACAGTAGCAATACAGTAGTGGATATGATATCAAGTAACTATTCAAAATATCAAAATAGGTTTTGAACGATGGCTCTTTGTCAATAGAAGAAATTACTTAAAGAGCGGCAGTCGTCGCGCCGCGTCCTGTTCGATATGGGACTTATAGCGATGTATACAACGCGTGTATTGTTTATTTACACGAAATTCGAACACGCGCTGCGCGACGACCACCGCGCTTTAAACGTATAGGTAAAAAATAAGAATATATGAACGCGTACTACAACTATAAATTTAAATTGGATCACTAAACGATTCCACAATAGAACATGTATATGCAACAGGCAGTTTTAAACATCTGTTATCTAAGATGATGAAACTATCCGGACTTACGCCATCAGCGTCCAAAATATATCTCGAATTTAGAGACGAGGTTCACAAAATTGTACTGAACAGACTACCGATTGAATTTACCAAGGATGGCTGAGATTTTAAGAGACGCACTTCAATTTATTATTCTGAGGTAATCTATTATTGACCGACGTAAAAATGACGTACAAGCTTTGAAGGGATTCTGATTCTCAGTTTGTCTTAGTGCCTATACAAATTTAAGGAGCAAAAACTGCAGATTTTTCAACAGAACGACGTCGTACGATTATGTAAGCAATTTACAGTAAGGAATCTGTATTTTCGCTAATTTGTATGAAAACAATATGCGTTTTTGAGCAATTTGTTTATGCAAATGAGTTGATACCATCATGTCAGCATATGTTAATTAATTGGCTGCACGACATTTGACACTATAAACTATTATGAACATTGCGTCACCATATGATCATTATAACATGATATCTTCAAGTATTGTGCATTTGATGATCGCCCTCAATGTTTGTTGATTGAGTTGTCATTGTATAGAATCTTTATTGCTATCATACCCCATATTTGAGGTTTTGATGAAAAGTACAATAAAGTAATACATCCTGAAAAGCACTAACACTGAAAACAAATCAAGCAGGACCCTCAATTTTCTAAACATAGAAAAAATGGTTAATTTGTATTTTCTGAAGCAGCTGGTTTAAGCATTTCACT